CATGATAATAAGTTATTTGAGATGATATGAGAGTTTGGGTGTAGAGTTTTGTGCGTTGGTTTTGCAAATTAGCAAAACATGCACAAAAAACTGAATTTTTCCAGATCAGTCGACACTGATACGCTGATTTCTAGTTTTTCAGGTTTCGGATCTGTTTTGATTTGGTTCGGGTTTGGGTCGGGTTTTTTGGTTCGGGTTTGGGTCGGGTTTAGCTGTTCATATATATTCTCCTTCACCCGAAATCATCCCCTTTCATCTTCAGATCAGAGAAAACTCTAGCCCCCTCTCCCCTATCTTAAACCCTAGTTTTGTTCTTGGTGATTTGGGGGAGAACTTGGAGGATTTTCGTCGAAATATTCACATTGCAGCAAAGGGGATCCACTCTCTCTCAGATCCAGGAGTTGTTCATCACCCAGAGGCGAGTAACATCTCGCCCAACTCTGTCCCTTTTGTTTTACACGAATTTATTGAGTTTAATGAGTTTTTATTAAGCCAAAAACGTATTTTTAGTACAAAGAATAAATCTTCATGGTATATGATGTGAAGTATTGAGCTTCTCAGTTTATAAAAAGATCACCAATGTTTTATTAAAGAGATCTAGATCTGAAAATGTTTGACAAGAGTTATTTCATGATTTATTGATTTCAAAACGTATCAAACATGTTTTTATGTGTTTAAGGTTTTTGATAAATGTATACATGTAGATCTTTCATTCCAGTTTGGTACATATATGTTAATATCAGTATTTTTCATGCTTGGGATTGATGGGGATGAGTTTAGATCAACTTTTGGGTGAATAATAACCTGTGCAGAGTTTCTACAGTCAATCAGTCGACTGATCAGTCGACCGACGGGCTGAAATCTCAGTCATCAGTCGACTGATCAGTCGTTAGATCAACTTTTGGGTGAATAATAACCTGTGCAGAGTTTCTACAGTCAATCAGTCGACTGATCAGTCGACCGACGGGCTGAAATCTCAGTCATCAGTCGACTGATCAGTCGACTGATGGGTTTATTTGGTTTTCCCAGCTCCACAGTTGACAGATCGGTCGACTGGTGAGCTGAGGCTGTGCTGCCTAAGCTTGTCAGTCGACACATGAGTCGACTGACGTCATCAGTCGACACCTCAGTCGACTGATGAGTTGTTTTACAGATTCTTAAATCTGTTTGAGTTGCTTTTCGGGGTTGCCTCGATGACCTGACACTAGTTCACCATGTTAATGATTTATCTGTACATGTGGGTTGACTTTTGACACAAGTTTAGATATGTACACCGAGACGCGTGTGAGTATAGAATATGTATATCAGTCCGCATATACTTTTCACAGTTACACAGTCCTCGTGTTGGACTATAATCCATAGAAGTCCTCGTGTTGGACTATAATCCATTTTTGTCCTCGTGTTGGACACTTGCCACTTATTCCATGTGTTTGGAAAACCACAGTATCTAGTTCCTGTATCGGACATATTTCTTAACCCTGTATATGACTTTCTCACAGGAGTTTTATGACATGACACTTATGTAGATTATGACATGATAACATGATACTCATGTAGGCTATGACATGGCACTGTATTTATGCTCTGGGGTTTGTTGTATTTCTTTTATTATTGTTCCTGTACTAGAACTTTGGGTTTGGTGTTTAGGAATTTACAATTTGAGATACAAGGTATATACATGAGGGTTTCCTTGTTTGGATTATTTCGCTCGACGTACCTACGCTCGTGTTGTAAATTCCTAAATACTAAAAATCCTCTTTAGTAAGATCAATGATTTTAGATCTATTATGTATTATCTATATTTTCTTATACAACGAGCCCTGTTCCCTTGGGGTTGGTTGTGATGTTGCTCGCTAGCGCTTTGACGCTCGTTGTCCCTCCCCCTTTCAGGTAACGAGCCAGGAGCCCGGAGAGTCGCAGGTTGATGGCGACACACTTTAGTGTTCAGCTGTCTATTTTAGCTATGTTTTATTTTGGAGCTCCACTGTAGTTTCGTTTGACATTTGAGGACTATTCTCTAGATGTTGTAAAGGTTGTATGCCTTATTTCCTTTACTCAGATATTTGTACTTGAGACTTGTTGAGTATTCCAGTTATCTATTCAAACATTGACTATGTATTTCTGTATGTTGGATGATGAGATATCAATGTGATCGCTATCACTTCATCAGTTATTTCTTGTATTATCATTTACTTGCTTTTGTACCTACACCTATTGTTGACTCTACTAGATAGATGTTAATTGTGATGGTGAAACATATTATTACACGGTGTGGTACATGGTAGGTTTGACATTCTTGGTTTCACCTTGGACTGCAGCCTTGTGTGAACCCAGGGACGTCACACAAATGGACGTGAAAAATACATTTCTCAATGAAGAATTTGATGAAGAGATCTATATGGACCAACTTGATAGTGTGGCCAAAGGTCAAAAGTGCAAAGTCTACAAGCTCCGCCGATTTGTTTATGGCCTGAAACAATCTTCAACATAATGGAACCTCAAATTTTATTGAGCCATTATAGCAATTGTGTGTAAATCAAGAGGTCCAAAGATGGTTTAGTAATCTCATCTTTGTATGTGAATGACATACTCTTTGGCTGGAAATAAAAGGGAGTTGATTGATACCACTAAAACGTGGTTATCTTTTAATTTTGAGATGAAGGATATGAGTGAGGCTAGTTATTTTCTTGGAGTAAAAATTGTTAGAGATCCCTCTAAAAGACTTCTTCATTTGTCTCAAGAGGCTCACATTAAGAAGATGCTTGAGCGATATCAAATGTATAACTGCAAACTCATTTATACTCCCGTGAAGAGAAATTTGAGCCTAAGCGTTGATATAGGTCCTAACTCTCCAGAGGAGAAGAAAAGAATGTCAAGATTCCCCTATTCCAAGATCATCAGAAGCCTCATGTACACCATGATGTATAGAAGACTCAACATATGTTACGATGTTAGAATTGTCAGGCGGTTTCAAGCAAATCAATGACATGCGCATTAGAAGGCGGTCAAGAGGATTTTGAGATATCTTAGAGGGACATTAGACTACGTGTTATGTTATTATGGTAGAGATTTGCGCTTAGTATTATAGTGATGCTAATTGGGGAAGTGGTCTAGATGAACGCAAATTGACATCGGGATATGCTTTTCTGCTCAACAATGGTGCTATATCTTGGAGCAGTAAGAAACAATCTTGTGTTGCTTTATCTACCATGGAGACTAAGTACATAGAAAGATCTGCAGCAATGCAAGAAGCTATTTGGTTGAGGAGATTCATGCGGCACTTAGAGATTGTTACTTACGTATCTAACCCTATGAGAATCAACTGTGATAGCATGGCTGCACTTGCTTACTCTAAGGATCCCGAGTACCATGGGAAAACCAAACACATATAACTGAGATATCACTTCATTAGAGATAGATAGCACAGACGGAGGTGGTCTTACAACATATTTTTACGAGTAAGATGGTAGCAGATCCATTTACCAAGCATATTACTAAGGGTTTATTTCACATGTTAAATCTCAAGGAATGCGTAGAATATGGTTGTACCTACGATTTGTGAACTACTATGTGATTTGTATTAGGTGATGATACATTCATTGCACGCGTACTTTTGATTATATTGAGTAGATATATATGATTGGTTCGCACATGTGTACTTTTGATTATATTGAGTAGATATATATGATTGATTCGCATATATCTGTGTCACAATATCATTTAACAAGTAGCACATTTTAAGAAGTACGTTAATAAGTTAATATTTACTCTCTCACACGAGCAATCACCTTTGGCGTTAATGGAGTAAACGAAGATGGGACATAAGTTAGTCATAGCGCTAAGAAAGCGGTTGTAATTTAAAATTATGTCACCTTGGTAAGGACCAAGATAAGGCTTTTAAGAGAATAATGAGCTGATATGAATATCTCCCATCATTAATAAAACCTATATATAAAGCCAAGTGTAAGAAATTTATTTTGCGCCATTGCACACGAGCAAATGAGAATTTCGAGTTAGGCGCTTGTGACGTGAATGAACTAACACTTGTACAGTGTTCATAGTTTAAGACATGCACTCTGAATTGACAGTGCTTTCCTCCGCAACATGCATTTCATACTGTATGTGCTTAGCGACCAAATAAGAAAGTGAGTGAATAGGTCCCTATCACTGTGTGAGTCATGGAGGTCATAAACTAATCTCATTTGTAGCCAATGTGACTTTGACTATATCATTAAGTGGAGAGTTAACATTAGCTACTCTAGTGTGTTACACATGATCATGATTGACGGGACATTACTAGCCAAGCAGTTAGCTGAAGGCGAAAGGAAAACTAATTTCGAATTACATACATCACTTATATTCACTAGCTAGCCAGTTGTGTCGTTTTAATACGAACGGACACAACTGTGGATACATGTAAAGTTTAACATGATTTGAGCGTGGGTCTAGTGAAGGATTTAGATACGCTTAATTTTGTATTACCAAATAAATCAGGGATACTATAATACACTACTGTTTGACTGTTTTCTTATTTTAGGGTAGATGCCTCCATCCCACTCCTAACGGTTTCTAGTTTGCAGCTCGCAGCTCTCAAGTGCAGGTATATTCGCTTGTCGCTTGACTCATTTGTCTATATGAACGTGACTCAAAGTTTGGCTACTACAACATGACGGATTGGTCATCCCCATCACGTGCAAGCGAGAGATGTAGGCAGTGGGGTCGTGCCCCACTAACGTTGCCATCCAACTTTTGTGGCAAGTACATGCCCTGAATATCTTCCACTTCAAAAACGTAACAAGGAAAATGAACTCTCTCTTCTACCTAACGCACGCGAGAGAAAAAGATTTGAGGGCCAAAACTAGCGAATTCTGAAAGACGTTTGAGCGGTAAATTATACCCTTGGCTCCTCTTGATAATTAAGGGTTCGACAACAAATAAAGCGGAGGACGTGAATCCAGCCAGTGGTGAATATGATCATAGAACGATTCGAATAGGTAACATACTAAATTCCGCAATCTTCAATTCTTAGATTTGATGATTATTATCTATTTCTTACAAATATGAAAACAATATCATAACTTATTGGAGAAAAGAGAAGAAAATAAAAACTAAAGAGGCCATTATTTCATTCCTGCCGAGCTCTGAATTCAGACCTTACCTAATCAATACATTAAAATCCCTTCCACAAAAATTTTATAACTATCAAAACTTACTATCTCCTACTGTCATAAACTTCAATCCTGCCATGGGTCGTTCTCAGTCCTCACTTCAGAAGGCTCAACCACCTCTGACTCTCCTGCTGCCTCAGACGATCCAACTTCTGAGCTCGATTCAGAGTCGGCGTTTCCCTCTTCTCCTGACTCTGATCTTCCCCATCTTCCACCGAGGGCAATAGCCATCATCTCATAGATTTTGTTACCCAACTCCGTGGGGCTATCAGGCTGCATAATTTTTTGAGCAAAGCAAACAGTAAGTACTTGGAACAAAACATTGCTAGATCCATTTAGTCCCACATTCAATAAATCAGGAGTCATTTGCGGGTTCAGAAGACATTTCTCTTTAATATCTAGGTTTAAAGGGTGAGTTTACATCTCTTACAAATATTATCAGAGTCAAACCCATCTTCCAAATTGCAACTTGCAAGTTAGCATTGTTCGCCCGATACTTGTCTATTGTTAATGGAGTGGCGCGCTTGAGGGCATCATGACTACGAAATTGTGGTGTATACTAGGATCAAGGTCATCGATAGTGGATAGTTTCGAGTAGCGGTGAAACACCGCCAAGGCAATTTGGGCTATTGTGGCAAATTAGTGGCAAAAAGCGCAAAGTAGATATGTATAAATATTTAAAAAATTAAAGAAAAACTAGAAAACCTAAAAATGCAGTACTTGATTTAAAGAAATCCTAAGCATGAAATAAACATGAAGCTACCACATAATATCGAAGTGGACTAGAGAAGTCAGAGAGTCGTCATCTTCGAGAAGATAGAGCTGAGCGGTAAGAAAACTGCACTAGGAGCACACTACAAGAGGTGCGAGGTGTTGTGCCGGTGAGAGGCATTGAGGGAGGTACCGGAGGCTATGAGAAGTGGTGGAAGGCGGCGGGAAAACGTCGAAAGTCAAGGGAGGCAATGGGAGGCATCAACCTTTGTAGGGGCTTGTTTTTTTAGAGTTGGATCGCATGAGGGAGACTCGGTAAAGAAAAAATCACGGCCGACAATGACATAAAACATCAGTTCACGCGGATACAGGTTGCGTTTAATTAAAAAATAAACTTAAAATTGCTTTTAAATAGTAGTCAAAAAGAGGATTTTACCCGCAATCACCTGCTATTCACCGGTATGGCGCGTTATTAGCCGCTTTTGTGAGCAGAAAACGCATACTCCGCAAAATACCACTGCTATTGGGCGATATTGGGCGATATCGTTGCGAAAAGGGCCGCTAACGTTATTAGCGCCGCTACTTACCGCTATTTAACAATGCCTAGGACCCTTAGTCCTGCATTGTGTATATGGGTAGTCAATTGTGAATTCCCTCCCCCTAACACTAGCTTGGCTTGGTTTGGTAAAGGGAAAGTAAAAAAGGTAAAAGTCAAAAGAGGGGCAAAAAACTAAGGTGTGTTTGATGGAGGGTTTTTTGAAGAGAAGGTAGAGTAAGGTGAGGTGAGAAAGAGTAGGGGACAACTTAAAATCAATAGGAAATGAGGAGAGAGAAAAATCCCTCCAAATTGGAAGGGTTTAAGAAAAGAGAGAACGAATTATAAATAGATGTTTTCCTCCTCTCCTACCAAGTAACAAACACAAGATGTATATACTTTGTTGCACCTCATTGCACCTTAATTTACATTCCCCCTCAGGAACCCCTTACCAAACCAGCCTAAAGGGTGAGATTTTCTAGGTCTCTTACAAATGGTATCCAAGTAAACCCCATCTTTCCAGTTGAAAGTGACCAAACTTTGCCTGGTACTAGTCTACGGAAAAGACAAAAGGTGAGTCCAGATTGTAGTGTTCAACTAGGACTAGACTTAGACTAGTGTAAAGTCAGCCCATGCGATGTCAGATTGTGGAAGCATGGTGGTATATTGGGATCTATGCAATTCCCATATGGGATGTAAATTGTGGGTTTATACAAAATTTAGGTTCTCCCTCCTGACAACTAGAGTTTAGGATGAGTTATCCTCGATCTCTCCCAAATGGTCCCAGAGTCAACCCCTTCTAAAGTCAACCCCAGTTATAGTTTAGCACAAACGCAAAATGCTCACACTTGGTTTGCAATGTTTCAATCTGAACTATACTCGTGCAAAGCCGGCCCGTGTGAGTGCAGGGGAGTGGAAGAATGATAGTATGTCAGAATTCATTAGTCCTACACCGACTAATTTGAAAGTCAATTATGGGTTCATAAAGAGTTCCGGTTACCCTCATTTGATAGCTAGCTTTCAGGTCTGGGTAATAGGCCTCTCATACTGATAACAGAATATGACAAGAAGGTTTAGATAGCCTTACAGTGAATCCACTGGCAATAAGAGCTGTATCATACAATAGATCAACAGCCCTCGTGGCTTCCCCACTGCTTGGGTCGTTCTTGCATGCAGCCTGCAGATTCTATCGAGTTATGACACGTACTAGTAATAAAATAATAAAGATGGAAAAAAAAGATGATTTATGCAAGAAATATTACGTTTAGGTCTTTAATGATGGGATGGTCTGGATTGATTTCTAGAATTCTCCTTCCTCTCATGAACTCTAAACTTGATGTATCACCAAGAGTCTGCGCTTTCATGAGCCTACATATCACAACCAAAGTAGCTGATTGACAATTCATAAAGGAGATGAATGAGGAACTAAGATGAATAACCTCAATACAGAAAGATAATTCTACCTTTCCATGTTAGCTGACCATCCAAACTTGCCAGAAACAAGTACGCAAGGAGAAGCGCTAAGCCTCTTTGAGACTTGCACTTTAGCTACCTTGTCACCAAGTTGTTGCTTTATCCAATCACACAACAAGTTGAACTCCTGTTGGTTCTCCCTTTCTTTTACCTCATCCGCATCACCTGAGTCAGAAATCATTGTCAGCAGTGATATCCCAAATTATATTACGTACTGACTTGATCAACATATTTCAGTGAAACACTAACCAAGTTCTAGATCTTCCTTGCTGATGTCAACAAATTTCTTTTCCTTGTATGTCTGCAAGTTCTGGATTGCAATTTCATCAATCGGCTCCACCAAATATAGAACCTATAAGAGATACAAAATAGTCAGATGAAACGCATAGTTAGACAAAGAGTTTATGAACAAGTACCTTAAGAATTGAATGCTTACTTCTATGTCTTTCTGGAGCAACTTTTCCAAGAATGGGGCAGTTTTGGCACTTTTAAGGCTATCTGTTGCCAAGTAATATATAGCCTTCTGGCTCTCTGGCATGTTCTCAACATACTGATCTAAGCTTATCAAATCTTCTTCACTTTTAGAAGAATAGAAACGCAACAAAGGAGCAAGACGCTTGTGATTCCCAGAGTCCTCAATCAAACCTAATTTCAGAAGCTTGCCAAAGTTCTCCCAGAAACTTTTGTAGTCCTGCAACAGAGATAAAAGTTGGTAAAAACAAAAAAGTTAAAGCACATGATACACTGCCTAAAGTCATCTCTGCCCACCGCTTTATTTTCAGATTCAGATATCTCTTGAATCATGTCAAATGTTTTTCTAACAAGCCTTTTCTTCATTATTCTCACCTGCACCAAAGAGTAAATGTATAAATGAGTCAGCATGGTAAAGGGCAATTGGTGAATTATAACGGACAATGTAAAAATATATCTCCAGCTTACAATTCGACTTTCTTGAAGAATTTCACGAGAAACATTAAGGGGAAGGTCATTTGAATCCACAACACCCTTCACAAAGCTCAAATACCTCGGGAACTGCAATTTGATCATAACTAATCAGCAACTAATACACTGACCGACCAAAATAACCAAAGTCTCGAATAAACACACAAGTCATAAGAGACATTACATATACCAAAAAAGTACAGTTGTAAACATAACTTATTTCTAAGTTGATTAACTTACCAGCTCACCATCAAAATCATCTGAAATGAAAACACGCTTGACATACAAGCGTATGTTCTTTGTCTTTGAATTAACTACATCTTCATTGTTCAATGGTGCCATTCCAGGTATATATAGGACACTTCTAAATTCCACCTCCCCCTGTTAAGTTGAAAACCATGTAAATGATGAAATTTTCAACAAGAAATCACTTAAATCACCTTAACATAACATCTAGCATAGTTTCCCACTGCATACCTCAGTTGTGAAGTGGATATGTGCAAGAGGATCTAAGAATTCATTAAATGTATTCTTGTAGAACTCATTATATTCATCCTTTTCAACCTCCTTCGGGTTTCTCATCTGCATATACATAACAAAGACATGAAGTTAACGGTTTGCTAAATAATACACATAAGATTGGATCACAAACACAATACCCCTAAAGGGACTGATCAAGAATTATAGGGAGGAAACTCCACATTTACAAATTATCTTCAGAAACATATGCAGGTCATAAGTTATGTAGTTACCCATATAGGCTTTGTTTCATTAGCCAACTCCCAGTCCCAGTATTTCTCCGTTACTGTTTTCTTTTTCTTCTTTTCACCCTGCCAAGATAAAGAAACAAACTAGCTTAGTTATGATAATCGAACGAAAGAAAAATGACAACACTACTGACACCATATTAGTTTATATACCTCAGGTTTCTCTTCTTCACCTTCTTTTGGTTCTTCCTCCTCTTCCACCTATAAAAAAATTACAACAAAACATCCTTGAACTGAGCGAAAGAGTTAACATACTAAACAATTCGGAGCAGACAAACTGCCACAATCCTTCAACTTCATCAATGACTAGAAAATTCTTGATGTCAAGTAATCACACTTACCTCTACAGTTCTTGATTTCTCTTGCCACGTAAATATGGGGAAGGGCACAAACTGTGAGTAGTTCTTTACCAATCCTTGGACCCTCGTGGGTTCCGCAAATTCAAACTTCTCATCAGGCTGACCAGTTAGGGAATATCTTAGGACCATCGCAAAGAATTGAGACACCAAAATATGAGAGCATAAGGAGAAGACATACTCTGAGATACAGGGTAATTTCAGTTCCACGCCTTAACAATTTCTCTGGGTCTGATTCTTCTTTTATCACATATGAGCTACTGTCAGCCACTGCTTCCCATACATATTGCTTATCTGACTTTGGACTTTTTGTTGACACAACAACCTGTGCGCCAATGATCCCAATTTAGTACAAAAACCTCAATTAAACTAATGATTGAAAGAAATATAGAAGTCCTATCACACATGTCAAACCACCCAACAATTCTAGCAAAATGAGATAGTTTGTTAGAAATAAGATTAGTTTTCAGTTAACATGATCCTACTTTGCCAGTCTACTATCTTCCAAAAAACTTGAGGCATTATCTGGTGCGATTAAACTTGCCTCTGATTGTGTTCATTAGTATAAGACAGATGATTTACCCTTTCAGCAACAAGGAAAGCCGAATAGAATCCAACACCAAACTGGCCAATCAAACCATTGTCTGCTCCAAGATCTTTGTTTTCCTAGTATAATAGACACAAGTAGAAAGCCAAATTAACTAGTGAATAAAAGCACAAGAAGAAGTATTTTGCAGGAAAATTATTTTTGAATTCAATGGTAGATGAGACCTTATCTATCAGGAACAGGACCAAAGAATATACCTTAAGGGCTTGTAAAAACTTTGATGTTCCACTCTGAGCAATGGTTCCAAGGCAGTCAATCAATTCTTCTTTGGTCATCCCAATACCAGTATCTCTGTAAATCCAAAGAAGCTTGTTAATTTGCATGAGTAGATTAATTTGCACATTCATGCTAATGGCAAGGAAAAAGTGAATTCTTACGTAATAGTGATAGTCCCATTTTCTGGATCGGGCTTGATGCGTATCTCCAAGTCACCAGCATCACCCAGTAGAGAAGGGTCAGTTACACTTAAAAATCTCAACTTATCTAGTGCATCACTTGCATTGCTGAAACAGATGTAGACCAAATAAGTTATGACTCTTGACATCATAACGAAAGATAACAATTTTTGGCACATAAACCAACAGAGAAGTCGCAAAGCAATAAAGAACCTGTATCCATCAAAATTAGAACTAGCTATTGTGTTGCCAAACACATTAAGGCACTTAAATATCCTTGCATTTTAGCTGTTTCATCTTTGTTGAGAAGCAATACTGGAAATTACATGGAAGTTAGAATACCGAGGAAAAACAATCGGAGTGTTGGGCGATTTTCACATCTGGAGAGATCTACCATAAGAAAAATCCATTTATGAATAACTGATATTAACTCTACCAATATGGAAAACCATTATCATACAACAGAGGTTGCACAGGTACAGATCAGGTGCGGATATAGAAATCATAAATTTGTACAAGACTGGCCCACACACGCACACGCACGCGCACAATAAAGATAGAATAAACTAAAGTGGATTGAGGGCTTTGCCCACCACTTTTTTTATCCATTGGATTTTCTTTAAGATTTGTATTGGTGTGTGATACATATCATGACTATCTTTGACATGTGTGCACCATATATATCACACATTAGCACGAATCTCAAAGGAAATCCAACAAATAAAAAAGTTGGTGGACAAGACTCTCAACCCACTTAAGCTTACAAAAGCCTTCCTCCCTCCTGCTCTATACAGGTATGTTCGTATATAATATTTACATTAGATCAAATATTGAATTAAAATACTTATAACATCTGTATGTTTCTTTTACTATCTACAATAATTACGAATCAAGTTACATCAAACTCAGAATTATGGTCTAACAACAAAAGTTCAGTTTTGATTGCATGGGATATGATGGGTATTTCTTAAATCTTTAAGTAATGTGTTTTAGTTTTTGAGCCAAAACCCTAATTGTTTTGAGCTCAGTGTACCAAAAAAAATAGTTTATGGTTATAAGTAATAGGGAAATCAGGTTTGGCTTAGAACCACACGTCCATGGCTTGTCCGCAGTGAATTCATGTCCGACATAGATAGAACACCCATAACAAAGTGTCCCGGTAACCTAGAGCAGACGTAATCAAAGAGACTTATAATGACATCTTCTGCCAGAACAAAAAAGAATAAACACAAGTCAAACAGCCAAACTCAAGATGCCTGATCACAAGAAGCGGATGGAAGTTTGGGTAAGTACTCGAATTTTAATCAGCAAAACATTTAAAAATTCATTAAAGCATAGAACATTGCTGCTAAGAATGCAATCTAAAATATTAGAAAAGCGATCAAACTGCGAAATGAAGTTACTGATTCATTCCACAAGGTCAAATACTTGAGCAAGCTTTAACTTTTAAGTCTGTCAGGATATTACTACACAATTCAGTCTGGAACCTAGTCATATTCAGTTTGAACTCATATATTGATGTTGCAATGAACAAAGTTTCTATATGTACATTCATTACATAAATGTTAGAATTGACTGAAACACATTAGCACTACCCACATAAACAGAACGTCACTTGGAACTTCGAAAAAAAAAAACTTGATGCACCAACCTGACAAGCTCCCGAAGAAATACTTCTTTATGGCTATAGAGACTGTGAACAATTAAATCCATGAGGCGGCTAACCTGCATCATTAAAAAATACAGTCAGTTACTTAAAATTGCAGCATGCCACATATATGACAAGTTGGACTTAATTAGAGAAGGGTACATCACTTACTGCATTAATCACAAATAACTAGACAAGCACATATATTTAGGAATAACTGAAGATGATGCAAAAAAATCAAAAGGAACGCGATCAGTATCAACGTATACAAAGCAACGATCGACATGAACAAGAGACTGGTGAAGATCAGGATCCAAGATTTAGTCACAACTAAAAGAAGTCATAGCTTAATGGCTTGGTCTCTTCAGTGCTAACTAGGCCACAATCTTTTGTCATATAATTGGCTCAATTCATGATATATATTTATAAATATACGAGAAACGGAATTTTCACTGCTAGACAAGAAGTTGATAGAATCCAAATTCATGCCAAATCAATATACGTTAGGTACAATTGGAAAGAAACTGAAAACAATTGCAGAGTAAAAGAAACAGAAATTAATAAGTTACCCCAGTTTCTATGAAAGAAGTCTGAACCATTTAAGCAAATTAAACACAGACCAAACTCAATCTGAAAACAGAAACAACACCCACTTGGACAAAGGGCGTGTTTGGAAAATTGAAAGTGGTTCTGAATGTGTACAAGGCACTTTTTCAAAGGCGTGAAAATGCATCCAGTCATCATACAGGTGTAAAAAAAAAAAAACCCCACCTAAAAAGAAGAAGAAGAAGAAGGAAATCTAACCTCGGCCTGATACTCAAACTTCTCACCACCATCAGAGGTCTCCTCAGCTTCCTTCTCGGCAACAGCAGCCTCACATCGAACCCTCATCTTCCCTTCCCTTCTCCTCTCCAGGTTCCATCTCAGGCTCGCCAAAGCAAAACCTCTGCTTCTTCTCTCAAGAATCGATCGGGGGGCAAAAGAGCTCCCAAATCTCAAGCTTCTGTTTGATGGGGCTGTGGTCAGTGGACGAGAGAGGCTGATGAAGGAAGCGCTCAAGCTCGTGCTCGCCATTAACATTCGACTACTTCTCCTCTCCTGTTATTAGCCTTTTATTTTTTTTATTTTTTTTTCCTCCCTTTCTTCCTTTATTGGGTTTGACAGGGGAACGAAGGGATAGGGTTAAGGGTTTAAAAACTTCTGAATTCAGGAGAGAGGTTTAAAGAGGATGATGTAGAGGGTTCTAGAAACGAGACAGGGAGAGGCGAAGACGATGCCCTAGAGATATTATCGTAATTTCGCGTTTCCTCCGCGGCCTCAAGTATTGGAAATGGACGCGAGAGGATTTGATGGACGGCTGGGATGGTGTCAGTACAATCATTTTTTTTTTCTTTTTGTGTTATTTAGCGCTAGTCCCTCAAATCTATGAAATTGTTCATTTGTTCCTCAAACCCTAGTGTTACTTGCCATAGAGTCCCTTTATGATCAAACACTCGGCAAATTTGTTTTTTTTTTTTAAGAATTATTGCAGTTTGGCACCCTAAAATATATACTTTCTTACACTTTGATATTGGAGAGTTTTTTTTTGATACTTTGATACACAAAATTTTATAACTTTTTGCACTTTCACATTTCGATACGCCAAAGTTTGCAACTTTTTTTTACCATTTAATTATACCAAAAAGATTGCATAGTTTTTGACCTTGATACCTTAAAGTTTACAAATTTTTTAATTTTGATATACTAAACTTTAGGGTATCAAAGTGACAAAAACAAAACTTTAGGGTATCCAAGTGAAAAAAGTGAAACCTTTATATTAACAGAAGTGTTACTAGAAAAAACTTTAATGTATCAAAGTTATAAATATGTAAACTGTAGGGTATCAAAGTGTTAAAATACTTTGGAGTATTTAAGTTAAAAAAGGTGTAAATTTTAGAATACTAAAGTGAAAATAACCCTTTTAGGTATGAATTAAGAGATATTTTGATTATTGATGCACCAAATTGCAAGACTCCTTAAGAGTTTAGAGACTAATGAGCAATTATTGGGATTCAAGGCACTAATATGGAATTATTGAAGATTTGAGGAACTAATGAGCGATTCTTGAGATTTGAAAGACTAGTATGAAATTATTAAAGATTTGAGGGACTAATAGTAAGTAACCTTTTTTTTAACGAAAAACATATGTACAATTTTTCGCCATTCATCTTAGGGGGTGTTAGTCACATAGAACTTAAATCTGAAACTGGGATAATCTGTGGGATAAATTTTTAAGGTGTTAGTCACATAGAATTAGGAAATGTGATATTTTTTTTATAGTGTTAGTCAAGTAGAACTTTTATAGAACTAGAATTGTATTATTTTTTTGGTGTGTTAGTCAAGTAGAATTCTACTTGAATTAGAATTGGGATAATTTATCATAATTATCCCACTAATTTTACTACCTATATATATAGCCATAAGTTCCCCTCTCAAAAATTATCCTACACATTGAAAAGAAACAATTGGGGAAAAAAGTGGAACTGCGCCGCCTCCCTCTCGAATTATTTCTCCACCTCTTCTCTCCGATCCTCCCGTCCACGAGATCAGGTATGTAACTTCAGTTCTTTAGATTTTAATTTCAAATTTATTCATCCAATTGCGTGTCGTGATAAGTTCGTATGCTATGAATGGACTCATGGAAATTTCGCGTTGTCATGTTAATAGACAAAGATGAGATCACCTTTAACCTGCAGGCAATGTGATGCAATCACCTTCCTTTAACCTGCAGGCAATGTGATGCAATCACCTTCCTTTAACCTGCAGGCAACTTCCTTTAACCTGCAGGCAATGTGATGCAATCATCTTCTTTTAACCTGCAGGCAATGTACAAGATTTTAAGATCACCTTTAACCTGCAGGCAATGTGATGCAATCACCTTCCTTTAACCTGCAGGCAAGTGATGCAATCACCTTCCTTTAACCTGCAATCACCTTCCTTTAACCTGCAGGCAATGTGATGCAATCATCTTCTTTTAACCTGCAGGCAATGTACAAGATTTTGTACGCATTATGACCCCCAACCATTATTTTAATCTGCAGGCAATGTACAAGATTTTGAAGCCCTTTTTTTTCCCATGTTCACCATAGAGAATTTAAATGCTTGTTGTTGCTTGTATTAATGCTTACACGCGTACGTTTTATTAAAAAACTGATCTTGCATTAGATATAGAGGTGCCTGTACTCAAATGGTCAAAAGTTTATCCGTGGTATTCTTTGGTTTTGTTTATTTTTCTTCTCATATCTAAATGTAGAGAGTAAATAAATATAGCAGGTGGCTTTTATTCTTATTCGTGGATGCTCCGAAATACATGCTATTGAATCTAATAAGTGCCAATCAGCTATCTGAAAATAGTCACAAGTTTTCATAAAACCGATTAATATTTCACCTGCTGATAGAATTCATAGGAAATTTTTGTGTTGATAGAAGTCATTGGAAATTTTGCTTTTGTTTATAGATAGTTCATGGTTCAACAAAGAAAATTATTTTGATTTTCAAAATTTTGAATCTGGATATAAATCCTAGAGTACCTAACTATATCACCAACTTTCCCCTTTTTTTAAAAAAAATTATACTTATTTATCCTCCGTGATGATCTTGATACTAACTAAATAAATACCTCACAAAATTATCAACCTACAAAGTGTCCTTACATCATGAATACTAGCTGTCTAGAAAAACCGTCTCACTTTAACCAAATTATGATCATGTTTATGTTGTTGTTTGTGCAATTTCAAGCTCACTTTGCTCACCATCATGTTTAGTCTGGCATCACCAATATTTTAATCCAATTCCATATCACGAATAGTCTTTCATGGAGTGTTAAGCTCCGGTGGAACGCTCTCGAGAAAAAGTCTATCAGTAGCTTCTAACAAATCAGTCGAAAGTTCATCCACCACTTCCTAGCTGACACCAACCAGAAGTTACCTCCTTATGTGTTGATCCAGATGAGGCAAGGGCCCAGATAGAGCCTTCGAGCCTACTTCAAAAGGTTCTAGGAAAAGTGGCTAGAGGTCAACGACCCAGGGAGTGCGGTCGCTATGTCTGCCCTCTGGACCTATTGAACAACAGTCCGTACTCCTACATGCGCTACACCCTTCTCCTAGTATATGGATGTGCAGTCATGCGACCATTGGAAATCCAAATTCTTTCACTGAAAACTATTATTGTAGAGAAGATGACGACAAAAGAACATCGCCAAAGGCGTCTCCAAGAGTTAGAGGCGCTGGATGAGTTGAGACTTAAAGCTCAATAAAAAATATGCATCAATCTCGAAACTTAAGAGCCTTCAATAAGAGGGTTAAAGAAAAATCCTTTGAAGAAGGAGACTTGGTTTTAGTTATTCGTCAATCCATGATCATGACACGCATGACCAAAGGTAAATACTAACCTAAGTGGGAAGGCCCATTTGTAGTAGAGATGGTCTACTTAAATAGAGCATACCGCCTGATTGATCTAAATAGCAATAAGCTTATGACACCAATCAAGGGGAAATTTCTCAAGAAATATTACTTTTGAATTGAGCTTTTTTCATCTCTCCACGGAGATCTCAATTACGTTGAAGTTTTCACCTCTGACCATGAGAATGACATCTCAACCCAAGTTATCAAGAATTCAATTCCAACAAGATCCCAAGCGAGTTATCAAGTTAACACTATATCTCTGTAACATTGGGAATCTCTTGCCACCGTCATGTTAACATTACATCTCTAAATAGTTTGCATTTTCTATAGACCTGATTTGTTAATATTACACCTCTGTTAGTCTCTTGTCTAAAATTAATTAGTTAACATTACACTTCATCGATTTTTTTCTTACCGTTGAACACTACACTTCTAAACAATAGTTGTCCCTTAGACTCCTTATAACCCAACTAGTTAATATTACCCCTCCATCGGTTGTTCCATTTGATATGTTAAAAACACACGTCTGTCAAATTCTTCTACTACTGTCATGTTATCATTACATATGTGAACAATATTAGTTCTTCAAACCTGATATATTAACACTATTCCTCTATCAATGTAACTTCATCGACCCGTTAACATTACACTTTTATTGACTCCTTTCCTCATTTAGGCGAGTTAAATTCCATAACTCGGTCATTTTTCCCATAGATTCATTCACTATTCTAAATTTCATACGATATGTTAATTGTTTTCGTTGAAAGTAGTTTTCATTATCGAGTTCATTACAACTTTGATCGTTTACAATGAATTCAAATAAAAAAAATAAAGATTACAACTTTCTAGAAAATAAACACAAGAACTGTTTATCAACTCTTGCTTGCGTGGGGTCTTCGTCTGTGCCGGGGATGTTGATATCCGTGGACTGTCGGGGATCAGATCCGGTTGTTAGAAAATTAACAGTGCTCCTACTTCACCAAGGAAGTATTCGCTTGAAGCACTAAAATCAACCAAGCGAAATCAGTAGCTCTTTTTGAGATTAAGACCAAGCCTAATCTTAAAGAATGAACCGGGGGAAATACGTGTTCAGATCCTTCGAAAGCCTTCCTCTTTATGTTGAAGTTCGCCAGGATCTGACTTGCTTTCGCTATAAATTCATACCCTTTGACTCTTCACTCTAGCAGCACCTCACCCTATTGATCAATTTTTCCCCGCCCCGTGAAATGAGCCCTTAGGCCTGTATTTATAGGCTTCGGTTGGAGGATTTTCGGATAAGAATGATGGATTTGACCTTATCCTCAGTTGACAACTATGTAACCACGTTTGGAGATGATATCTAGTCAGTTGAGAACCTCTGGAATAGAAGAAATCCCGTGAAAATAGCAAAAAACATGTTTTAAATGTTATGGACAATTCTGGACGCGGGACAGACCATGGTGACCTGCGCGTGCGTGGGTCACCAAGAGGTGACTCACGCACCACGCGAGTTCCAAACTTCTTTTGACGTTTTCAATGTTTCTCGACTTTCCAGACTTGTACTTTCTGTCGTTTCGTTTACTTGCCCATTGTGTTGACTTGTACACTCCACTTGGAGCTGACTGACGCGCGCGAGCTGACTGACGAGTGCTTCTGGCTACTTGGAGCTGAGCGACGCGCTCGGGCTGACTGAGGAGCGCGCCCGGTCACTTAGAGCTGACCGACACGCGCGAGCTGACTGATGAGTGCATTCGTCACTTGGAGCTGACCGACATGCGCGAGCTGATTGAGGAGCATACCCGGTCACTTGGAGTCGACCGACACGTGCGAGCTGACTGACGAGTGTGTTCGGTCACTTGGAGCT